GATCATCAGAAGAATATGAGTAGCCAAGAGAGATAAGGGCAGTGGACAATTTCGAAAACCACTGTCTGCTAGCCTGCTTCAGGCCATATAGTGACTTATGTAATTTGCAAACTTTGTTGGTAGAAGAAGTGCCAACTTCGTTGGTCGAAGAAGTGCTAACTTCGTTGGTCGAAGAGGTGCAAACTTTGTTGGTCGAAGGAGTGCAAACTTTGTTGGTCGAAGGAATGCAAACTTTGTTGGTCGAAGAAGTGCAGACTTCGTTGCTCGAATTGCAAACTTTGTTGGTCGAAGAATTGTAGACTTCTTTGGTCGAAGAAGCAGGAAGCATGAATCTAGGAGGCAGATCCATATACACTTCCTCATGTAGATCACCATGAAGGAAGGAATTGTTGACGTCAAGTTGTTCCAAGTGCCAATTCTTAATGGCATCCACTGAGAGAAGGGTTCGAATAGAAGTAAGCTTCACAACAGGTGAGAAAGTGTCGAAATAATCCACCCCCTCCAGCTAAGTATATCATTTCGCTACTAAACGTGCCTTGTATCGTTCGATGGATCCATCAGCATGATGCTTGATTTTGTAGACCCATTTGCAACCAATCGATTGTTTGCCAGCAGGCAAATCAACAACAGACCAAGTATTTGTAGATTCAAGAGCATCTAACTCAGATTTCATAGCATTGTTCCAACAATCAAATTTGCAGGCTTGTTTATAGGTTTTTGGTTCTGTGAAAGAACTTATGGATAGACAAAATAATTTGTGATCAGGACTACATTGGCTATAAGATAATACAGAAGAGAGAGGGTAGTTAGAGGAACCTGAGTCAGATGCTGGCAGCATGGGGGATAGCAAATTACAGTGATAATCGGATAGATAAGCTGGAGGTTTACTATTTCGATTGGATTTTCTGGTTGGCACAGGAGGGAAGGGGCAAGGGGAGTTGTTAGTGTCATTCGAGGAAGAAGAGAGGTTAGTGGGAGATTCTGGCTGGGGGAGAGAGGTAGGAGAGGAAGGTTCATTTGATGGTGGAGGTAAGTTGGGTAGAATGTTGGTGAAAATATCAGGTGAATCAATCGAAGGAGGGTCAGGAGTAGGAATTATAGGATTAGGTGCAGGTTGGATGGATACAAAAGGGAACACGGTTTTATAAAAGAATACATTCCTTGAAATGTAAAATTCATGTGTGATAGGATCATAGAGAAGGTAGCCTTTTATGCCTTCCCTGTAGCCAAGAAAAATAGATTTCCTTGCTCTTGGTTCGAATTTAGTGCGATGGTTAAGCAAGGTCGAAGAATAGGCAAGACAACCAAAGACTCTCATATGGCTAAGGCTGGGAGGAATAGAATGGAGTTTTTGGTATGGAGAGTGGTTGTTTAAAAAAGGAGTGGGAAGACGGTTTATAATATGAATGGCATGTTGTATGGAAAGGTGCCAAAGGTTGTGAGAGAGGTGAGAGTGGAAAGAGAGAGCACGGGCAACATTCAAAATGTGTTGATGTTTTCTTTCCATGATACCATTCTGTTGAGGTGTTTCCACACAAGACCTTTGATGAATGATTCCTTTAGAAAGGTAGAAAGTGGTCATGAGAAACTCAGGACCATTATCACTTCGAATGCACTTGAGTTTCTTGTTAAATTGGGTTTCGATAAAGGATATGAATTGAATTAAATGGTTTCTGGTTTCACTTTTGTTGGCCATAAAAATTGTCCAAGTAAACCTGCTGTAATCGTCTACGAGGGTTAAAAAATACTTGTGGCCACATATCAAAGGTGTGGAAAGAGGGCCCCAAATATCAACATGAAGTAAATCGAAGATGGCAACAGACTTAGTATTACTGTGAGTAAAGGGCAAATGTTTTTGCTTAGCCAAATGGCAAGTGTTAGAGGGCTTATGATTGTCATTGTAGGTGACAAAAGGAAATTGAGAGGAAATACATTTGTGTATGTAGGGACTTAAGTGTCCAAGCCTAAGATGCCAAATAGTAGCAGGATCGAATTGGGGAGAAGAAGAGGTGTTGACAGATCCAGATGTGGGAGAGATGGTTTTAGGTGGGGTGGCATCAAGAACATACAATTTGCCAATCCTCCTAGCTGTAAATCCAGTCATCTTGGATTGGGGCAACTACATAATTCGATAACAATTAGGAGAAAATTTCACATCATATAAAGTGGAGTCAAAAAGAGTGGTGACAGAAATAATATTGACATGAAATGAAGGAAAGTGATAAACATTGTGAAGGACAAGTGAATCACATAGTAAAACTGAACCAGCAATAGTTGTAGTGACAGAGTCACCATTAGGCATTGTCATAGATTTAGGTGCAATGTGGTATGTGGAAACGAAACTGGCAAAGGTATGGATGATGTGATCAGTGGTACCTGTGTCAATGATCCACCAGTTATGACAAGGAAGATTTGAGGAATTCTTACCAGAGGAAGTATGAGGAGAGGTATTGGACACAGAATTAGCAGTATAAACTGAATTAATCGAGGGAAGTGAAGGAGATTGCAAATTAGATTGTTGGAGGAGCTGCAGAATCTGAGTGTATTGTTCTTGAATCGTAGACAAAGCACTTGGACTGGTGTTTGATGTGGATGCAGCATCTTGAATCGAATTCACTGTAGAATCAGCAGAATTCCCCACAGATGTAGTAGACTTGCGTTGTTGAAATTCAGGGGGATAGCCATGTTTCAAGAAGCAAGTCTCAATGGTGTGATTGGTGTGGTTGCAATGGGTACAAAGTCTGTTTCCACGGCCACCACGGCCACGACCAAGACCAGTGTTGTGAGAAGAACGAGAAGGTGTTTGAGAAAGGTGATTCACAGATGATTGAGACTCAATCGAAGAAGCAGAAGGTGAAAGAAGGTCGAATTGACGTTCTTGTTGAAGAACCAGATTAAACACATTATCAAGAGTTGGTAGTGGTTTCATCAGCATAATCTGGGACCAAACATTAGCGTATTGGTCACAAAGGCCCTTCAAGAACTTGATAACTTTATCTTGTTCTTTGAATTTGCGTAAGTCTGAAGCAGCACCACAGGAGCACGGTATAGCGCAGGTACAATCACGAATTGGCCGGAAGTTCTCAATTTTTTCCCAAAGCGTCATCAATTTTGTGAAGAACGAAGAGACATCAAGAGTTCCTTGTTGAAGACGAGCAACACTTTCTTGAATGTCAGCAATGCAAAAAATATCTCCCTGAGAAAAACGATTTTCCAAACTTTTCCATACAAGAGAAGCACGATCATACCAGAGAAGAGATTTGGCAATTTCCTCAGAAATCGAGCGTTGAAGCCATGAGAGGACGAGATTGTTGCATCGCAGCCAAGATTCGTATAAAGAGTCGGAGGTAGGGGAGGAGAAAGAGTGCCATCAACGAATTTGATCTTGTTCTTGGAGATAAGAGCTACTTTCATTGATCTAGACCAGATCTGGTAGTTCTTGGTATCAAGAACAGGTTGAAAAAGAACAAGAGAGGGATTTTCATTAGGGTGCATGTAGTAAGGATTGGAAGGATTGGTAGCAAAATCAGAGTAAGGAAGCGCCATAACAAACGCTGAAACAGCAAGGGAAGAAGGGGGCGCGAAGGCGCGAAGAAGAAGAAGGCGCGAAGAAGAAAGGCGCGGAAAATAGAATTCAAACTGATACCATGTTAATTTTGGAATAAACTCATAGTTTTCATTATGATTTGGAATGTACAAAACAACATTATATATACTGTTAAAGTAATAAACTGTTTAGTAACAAACTAAACAGAATTGTAACAAACTATAACAAACTAAAACTAACTAAAACTAACTGTTTAGTAATAAACTAAACAGTATTATTTTCATCATGTAATACTGTCCAAACATGACCCGATATATCTCCGATTTGTTTTTTGGGTTCTGATTTGAACACATTACACCATTGCAAAACATTAACAAAATCAATAATTTACATGTTTTTCAATAAATACATGCAATACGAAAATATTTTAAATTATACTATCTCGTTGAATCTTTCAATAATGGAAGCATCAACAATGTCAAACATATACATAATATCCACAAAACCACATGATGTGTAAAAATAATTTTCACCTACAACCAAGACAAGTAGAAATCATTTATCCTCAGTGGTGATTACGGTAGGCCTTTCAACAATGGAAGCATCAACAATGTCAAACATATACATAATATCCACAAAACCGTGTAAAAATCATTTTCGCCTACAACCAAGACAAGTAGAAATCATTTATCCTCAGTGGTGATTACAGTAGGCCTGTGTATTGGAGGAATTGATGGCCTCATGTCATGAAACTATTGAGTCTTGTTTTTATTGTGCCACATCCACCCTGCAATAGTATTTCTTGCTGATATAATATCTGCAAACTTAAGTAGAGAAAAGGACATCCATATGTGTTACATTTTAACAAAACAAAATCTATCTTGTTTTTGTTAGCTTTATTAGTTTTGTTCATTGAATAAATTGTTAAGTCTATATAAGTTGTTAAATTTAAATATGCAGATTGTCAATATTCACTTTGGAATTGTTGCTCTATTGAGGATCATGAGTAGCTCATTAATTTGAATTTAGTTTTCTTTTCCTGGTTTCAAACATAGAAATGGAAACAACCAAAGTTAATAGAGTCCACTTAAATTACAGAACTAAACATTCTTTTTTCTTTCAAATACATATATGGCCATGATAGAAAATAACTAATGAAGTGCTTTGAGTAAAGTCATGTGATTGTTATTTTGATCTTGATCTTGATTGAATGCATGAGTTCATCAAATAAATCACCGTACAAAACAATTTCAAGTAATGACCACAACGTGAACTCAATCAAGTTACACATGCATAAATAACATTAAAAAACCCACAAACTAAACTGTAAATATTTTCAATAACATTACAAATGTTTCACCAATAATAACTTAAGTTTTGGAAGTTTAAAATGTATACAAACATAATTTTTTATTATATTATTATGTAATCATAACAAAAAGATAACAAGTTTTTACTGTAATTTCCAACTAAATGCTATAGGACTTCTAACAACAGTTCTTCCATCTGACCATGCCAAACTTCCAAACCTTTGAGTAATATTTTGTTTCAAAGTTGATGTAGTAAATGTAACTATGTATGATTTTTTCTCATTTTCCTTAAAACTTAACACTTCTGGTTCAACCGAGATCTTGACAGATGAAACATCTGACTTAACTGATACCTTGTATGTTCCTGCCGCACCCACATTGGTAAGAGTCCGGCTGTGTTTAATCTCATTATTCCCACCTTTAAAGACCACAGCAAAAGAAGGGTAATTAAGGTTTGTTACACTGTATTGTTTATTTGGATCGCAAGTGTACTTTCTCCTCGCCACAATTTCGAAATCAACATGTGAGTAGTTCAATGCACAAAGGAAGCTCAAATAGTCTTCCGTTGTTAAATCATAGACAAGTCCGGGATTAAGAGCGGAAACAGGGTCAACATGTCCAGCACCAAACTCAAATGGAGTTGCTGGCTTGTTGGTTGAAATGTCCAATAATGTATGATTGTTTTTGTAAGTTGTGTAAGCGGTTGTCATCAGCGCGGAACGAATGACGGCTGGGCTCCAATCTGGATGAATTGACTTGATTAGAGCTGCTATTCCACTTACGTGTGGGCATGACATTGATGTGCCTAAGAGAATGTTGAAATCTACGCGTCTAGAATCAAAATACCAGCTTGTGGGACTAGCATTTTTTGAATAAGCTGCTAAGATGTTAACACCAGGAGCAATGAGATCAGGTTTCAGTATTTGAGGGGTTATTGAATTGGGTCCTCGTGAGCTGAAATCTGCAACAACAGGAGATGGCTCAACCTTTAGCTTTGTTCCTTGAAACACAATTGTGCCCGTCGACTTTGGATTGGAAAACAAGTAATTCTTGATAGCTTCACCATCTGTGAAGCTAACGGCAGTTGCTGGCAAAATATGGGCTTCTGCTCGTGGTATTTCTCCATCCTTCTCAGTGTTGGCTAACACCATGCCCAAACCACCAACAGATTTCACTATATTTCCTTTCTCCACCCTGTCAATATTTCCGCGGTCACACAACACAATCTTTCCCACTACTTTTTTGGGATCCAAACTACCTAGAACACATGTTCCATCACCTTTTCCTTGATGACTGCTTGCATTTCCTGCATATATAAACGGTACAAGAGTGTCGGGAAAAGAATTGCCATTATAAAGGGATACACCTGAATAGTTTTTTCCATTTCCTAAACTGACGAATGCAGGGAAATCTCGATCGAGTGTTCCAGCTCCCACAGTGGTAATCCAGGGTGCTACATTAGTGACACTGGAAGGAGTAGGACCAGAATTTCCTGCTGAGCATGAGACTAGAATGCCATGTTCCATAGCTGCAAAGGCTCCAATTGCAATGCTATCCTTATAATCGCGTGTTAGACCTCCAAGCGACAATGAAAGAATATTGACGTTGTCAGCAATGGCCTGATCTATTCCAGCCAATACATCTGAATTGCTGCATAAACCTTTCCAACAAACCTTATAAACAGCAACTCTAGCGCCGATTGCCATCCCACGTGCAGTTCCATTGGCATAGCCAAAAAGACCTACGTTTTCCACCACAGATCCTGCAGCTGTGCTCGCGGTGTGGGTTCCATGGCCTATATCGTCTCGAGGCGATCTTGACTGAATGGTTTCATCAATAGGACCCGCAGCTGCCTCGAAGCCCTTTGGAAAGAATCTGGCACCAATCAATTTTTTATTACAATTAAATGTTGTAAAGTTTGTACCTGTTTCACATTTTCCTTTCCAAATGCGCGGGATTGGCCCGAATCCTGTATCATCGAAGCTCTTGCTTTCGGGCCATACACCTGTGTCTAGGACTCCCACAATTACATCACTACTTTTGTTTGCCGCGGGGAACAAACTAGCAAATTTATCAAGCCCGAGAAACTCTGGTGTTCGAGTTGTGTGAAGTTTGTACATTTCATCAGGTGTCACCTTTAGAATCCCGGGTTGGCTCTTTAGTAACTCATGTTCTTCAAGAGTCAAACTTGTGGAGAATCCATTTATTGCCTTATCATAAGTATAGAGTACTTCAGCTGACTCGGATACCGACTTTAGAATGGATTTGTACCAGATTGAATGGTGGTTGAAGCTTGTTGGCATTGTGGATATGGCAACATGAACAATGTAAGTAGTCTTCTTATTCTCACTCTTCTCTGTTCTTGCCAGAGACACATCAAGCACACTCAGAATCACAAAAAGAATTAGAATGAGGGATTTCAT